GGTTATACTTTGAATTTCAGCCTCGCCGTTCGAGAAACTGCCACTGCTGGCTGGCGTTCAGACCGCCCCATTCCTGCTGCCCTTCCTGTGAATCCATTCCCTCTCTGTCAATCACACCATCTAAATAAAGCTTTTGGAGAGCGTATCATTGCAAGACACAGAAGTTTCGGACATAAAATGACAAGAAGCTCGCGATCATCACCACGTCCTACCAAGCCTTACACGTAAGCCATGCGACATAACACTTACTCCTGCGACATGAGCATGAGGGTTTGTACATGGTTGACGAGAGTGATTGAATGGCCGTATGGGAATGTGACATGGCTAACAGACTTGAGGCAGCAATCGAAGGCCGCTTGCTTATCGGTAGACCATATTCGTCGATCTCTGTTCGAGATGTGGAATCCGGAACTTTGAGCTTATTAGATCGTTTATAGTGCGATGTATGAAGAGGTCCCAATCGACTGAGTCGATTTGACGCGAATGTTTACAAGGATCGAACATTCTTTGTCATCAGTACAGCTGACCCGATCGACGGCTTACGAGACAGAGAATGAAAAAAGCTTCCGAGTTGGGATGCGGCATCTCCATTACAAGTATCTCGATCACGCGCAGGTCATCGCATTGCGGTATTAGATTCAACGTTGAGGGAGACTCGTCTTGCAGAGCTCTTGTGATGCCATCAGATAGTCGAGGACATATCACCAAGTGGGTTGCTCATTAACTACTGCGGGAAGGCTTGATTTAAGGCAGTTCGGGTTTCAACATACTCAAACTGGTAGACAGCTGTGTGGCCCAGAACAGGTCCAGCAATCTGAACAATGTCCAGTTGTTCAGGATGAAGTTAATGCATTACCCATGGGATTTGCTCCTGGTTAACTTTATATCGCGGAACGGCACTTGGTGTTGATCAACATCTTGTGACAGTGACGTCTACATACTTGTTGGGCTGTGTTGGTATCTCCTGAGATGATGAAATGAGGAGTACGGGAATAATGCTTCCATGGTACTGTTGATGGATAAGTCGGATAATGGTTGGGATGGTGGAAGGTCGACCAAGAAGCTTCACTACGAAGAACTGCTCCGATCACATTATTCGTTGTACGTTCTTTTGTAACTCGGGTGAGAAGATACGATTGTGACATTGTGTGCCCTGTCTTATGTTAGACTAGCAGCGAGGGTTTGCATGTAGGTTGTTGAGAGAGAGCTCTTGGGAAACGTGATCCGGTGACAGAGTAAATAGCGAATCTATGCATTCGGATGATTTGCAGTCTACTTTCTCTTGAGATTATTCCGTTATGCCTCAGTCGTCTGTGAGTCCGGATCGCATCAGAGTACTCAATCAACCCGTAACAGGTCTCACATCTCCTGGACCAGTTATCTATTGGATGAGTCGAGAGATCCGTTCTCGTGACAATTGGGCGCTAATCCATGCACAGAATGTGGCCCTTCGGAGTAAACGACCTCTCTTAGTTGTTTACAACCTGGCAGTTGGTTATCTTGGCGGAGGCTTGCGACAGCACGCCTTCAAAGTCGGTGGTTTGAAGGTCGTAGCTGCAAATTTGAGTCAACTCAACATCCCTTTTGCGATCGAAGCTTCTCCCAAGTTCCCGGCCTTCCTCGCTGACATCACTGAAAGAGTCGGTTGCAAATACGTTGTTACGGACTTCACTCCTCTTCGTTTGAACAAGGAGTGGGTTGCCGCCTTTACGAAGCATGCCAAGCGCCTTGACATTCGTTTCGAGCTAGTTGATGCTCACAATGTTGTTCCCTGTTGGGTCACTTCGGATAAGATGGAACGCGCTGCTGTGACAATAAGGCCGAAATTATGGCATCATTTTGATGAGTTCTGCACGAAGTATCCGAGGCTCAAGAGACATCCATATACTATTAGTGATGA